TTTAAACACCCATTTAGTATGCATCTCTACCAAACATGTTTGAGTTCAGATTTGCTCCTCACAGAGCTCTCCTTACACCGATCTTATAGAATGTTTCAGCCACACATTTGGAACATCTCCTATACTTGTATGTTATTATTCATGGAAGATGTTCCCAATACAGTGGGATGTGGTTGTAAGGTCAGCATGAAGAGCAGATCCCAGTTCAATATGTTTTGTGTATGTGTGTATGTATGTGAGAGAGAGAGAGAGAGGATAAATTGCATATTAGTACCCTGCACTTCGGGGGTAGTCTCACTTTTAGTACATGAACTTTAAAATGTGCCACTACAATACCTGAACTCCCGAAAATTGCCTCCTTGGTCTTGCCATCAGCATTCCACTATTTATTTGATGCATATGGTATCACATGCACTTTGAGACATTTGAAAATCCCAAAAGTACCCTTCGAAAGTACACTATTCATTATCTTCTTCCTTGAGACTGAATCAAAGCAGTGGTGCTCTCTCTCTCTCTTATCCTTTAGAAATTGTGAGCTAGATTAACACCTCTCTCAAAATTACCCTTTGATTTGTAGACTTTTTATTTGTTAAAGACCATAAAAGAAGAAGAAAAAGAAGGAAGAAAGAAAGAAAAATAAGAAGAAAATGATAGTTTGATAATTTTATTACCCACTATAATGTTTGCTAATGGTTCTAAACTAAAGTGGCAGTTATCAAAATTCAAGTGTTGTAGTGGCACATTTTAAAGTTGGGGTATTATAGTGAAACTACCCCCAAAGTACAAGGTACTAATTTACAATTTACCCTAAAAAGGACAAAATGGAACGCTTGTGAAAAGCGTTGGTGCTAAAAACCATGATAATCATCTTTTGTTCAAAAAAATGAAACAAAAATCTATTTGTAATATTTGAAACATTAATGCCCAAATTGGCTAGGGCTTTTTTACTAAAACAAACTGTTTAGAGAATAGATTGAGAATACAAAAGGAATGCAATTGGGTTCAATATCATACCTCTTTTCCCCTAGAGGCTCATATGGTATGTGTTTGGTATCAATGTCACATCAACAAGGCATTTCCTCCAAGGCCAACAACTCAACACCATGTAGGAATTTTCTCATTTCCTCTACTTTTTTTATTTGGTTGATCATTTATCAAGTGCTTTCAAATAGTTTCAAGTAACACTCATACCTTGATTTCTTTGTAAACAATGTTTTGAGAAAAAAAATCAAAATGACATTTTTTTTGTAATGGAAAAAATGTTTTCTCCTTTTAGGCTATGGTGCCTAATTGTGCCTAACTAACACCAAATAACATTAAAAAATATTCACAAAACCCGAAGTACTTTATTGAATTCCAAGGCATTGTTGTTAATTGAGAAAACTGTGTTGATACCAAACATGGCCATAGTGTATCCAATACTTCTCTTCTTTCTTTCATTATTTCTTTCTTTTCTTCTTTTGGTATTAAGTGCATCTAATACCTGAGATTTATCATGATGTAATAGAATCCCTACTCTAAAAAACTATCCAATTTCACTTAATTCTCCCATTTCCAAACCCTAAAATGTTTTGCAGTTTTCAGTTATAAAATTTGCTATAATTGACTATATGAACATTTTTGTCTAGGTTTTTTTAATATTATTCGCTAACTAGTTTTTTGGGGGTCATTTACTAGGACACCCCTTACAGTTTTGGCACATACTAAGTCCACCCCATACTTTACAACTTTGCATATTATTAAGACAACCATTATACTTTGCAACCACTTAATGGTCTTTGGATGGGTTGGGTTGGGTTGAAGGTAAACCTAAGCCAAACCCTAAAGGCCTGAGCCTGAGGTTAAGCCCAAGTTTATCAACCTAGGCCTAACCCGAACTTAACCCAACACAACTCAAGTTGGGCTCGAGCTTGAGCTAGACTAAATTGGGTTAGTCAAGCATGAACAGGTTGGTCGGGCTTGAAAGAATTTTAGTATATATTTTTATATTATCATCTTTTTATTGGGCTTTATGGCTTTATATAGTTATCTTTTATATGTACTAATTTCATTTACAAATGTACATATGCATGTACACACATATACATAATTAGAAATAAAAGGTATCTTTATATAAATATCAGTGTTTAGAAAACCGGATTGGACTGATCGGTCTAATTGGTTGAACCATGACCCAAGACCTTGACTGGTTCGATCATACCCTAATAGCCGCTTTCATTAAAAAACTAGTGAAAACCGGCTAACCGACCGATTTAACCATAAAACCGGTGACCTGGTCCTAGTTTCATGGAACAACTTGGGTCCTTAGCTAATAGAAATTTTAAAATGTGCTTAGCAAGATTCAAACCCATGACCACTTATTTTTACATTTTAATTAATTATCATTAGTCCACCTCTTAACTTGTGTTAATCAATTACTCTTTATTGTACATATTTCTTTATTAAGCATACATTTTAAAGAAAATGTAAATTAAGAGACTTGAGCCCTAATCATTTGCTTTAAAAATTAATGTACTTACCATCAATTCATCCGTGTGTGTGTACATATATATATATATATATATATATGCTGGTTGAACCTCTGACCCGTGAACCTCTCCCCTCTTCGGTTTTATGCCCAGTGTAGTTCTTTGAACATTGATAAATATAATATACATATATATGCATTTTTCATATTGAATCAATAGAGTTGGGCCCAAATTTGATTAGGTTGGACTCAGGCTACCCAAGACCTCAACCTAAGCTCACCCCAAACTTGTAGCCTGAAAACTAAGGCCCAACCCTTGCAAAAACTTGAGTTAGGTCAGGCTCTTGCTCAGGTTGGACCTGCCCAAGTTGCACCCCTATCCACACATTACTTTATTCTGAACATAAAAAGGGCAAATTTCTTAAACTACCCCTATTATTTAGTTAATTAACTAACTCTACACTTACTGTTTAACTATTGTCTTGCACTACCCCTACTATTTCTCACAATTGACTAATTACTCCCCTATCATTAGGGTTCCATCACAATCCATTATAATCTGCTCACATGCCACACCACATGAGAATTATATTTTGAAAAAAATGACAGTAATACCCTTTTCTTATCCCAACGTTGGTGCTAGTCGTTTGAAATGCAAGGGGTGTCAATGTTGTCGTCTGAATCTGATCAAATTCTTTCTTTTTTTTTTAGACAGAGCTCAGATTTGCATATTTGACAGAATTTGATCTTTGTGCACTTAGAGAACAATCCAAATTCCTATTTTCTCCAGCATCAGAGAGATGTCAGTGGTCAGAGGGAGTGGGGTTTTCAAGTTTGCCTAAGGATATGCTCAAGCCAAGACACACTCTTTGGACCCCAAAGCCGGTCATGCCATAGTTGAACTCTGAACCTAGTGATCTTGAGGCCGAAGCTGGTGGCACAGGCTTGCGGGAGTTGGTGGCACCACTATCGGGGGATGAGAGGAGAAGTCGTCTAACCTGGGGGTTTAGGTGCATGAGATGGGCTTCTGCCTCGTCGAACTCCGCCTCTTCCCTCTCCCTCTTGTTCTCTTCCCCGGTGCCATAGGGGAATCGCCAAAATCGCCGAGGTCATCTTGCTTCACCACCTGCTTCAATGAGGTGGGAAAGGTGTTACGTACCGCTCAAAATGCTCTAAAGAGGGCACCCCTTTTGATCCATCTCTTCAAAAACTGCTACATCCCCTACAATCTTTGTTTGGCTGGAAACCCAAGACGAGAATTCCATCTTTTGTTGTGGAGTGGATCTCTCTGATTTCTTCAAACATGAGTTAGTGTTTTGATGCGATGAGAAGCTGATTCGTCGGTGCCACCATCAACACTTTCAACTGATTTACTAGATTGCAAGGGAGGTGGAGAGGGAGAATGAAGAGGGGAAGGGAGGCAGAGGAAAAAGAAGATCACCGTCGCTGCTGGAAGTTGCAATGATTTTGGTCGTTCCAAAAACAGAGGTGAAGGGGGCGAAGGAAGAAGAAGAAGATCATCGTCGTTGCTGGAAGTTGCAACAGCGGCAGCGATTTTGGTTAATTCAAAATTGGATAGAAGAGAAGGGGGGCAAAGGAAGAAGAAGGTCACCGCCGTTGTTGGAAATTTCAGTGGTGGTGGCAATTTTGGTCGATCCAAAAATACACAGAGGAGAAGGGGGTGGAGAATTCAACATTGCCTATGACTGTGCTTCATCTTGGGCTGGTTTTTGAGAGAACTCCTGTGATACGAAGATCCATGCTGGGTGAGTAGTTCTTGATCGGCGACATAGTTCTTGATCTAATTTGTCTTTTAATTTCTCAAGGAGAAGCTTAGATTCCAATGGTAGCAGGGGGAGGACACCCAAATGGGTGGAATTCTGGAGTGATGTAGTTCTTGATCAGCGATGTAGAAATTCTTCATCATTGTTATCTTCATCATCATCGGAGTTGTATATTGAGTCCACCCTAAGTTCAGCTTGGTTCACCTTGCTTTGACATCCATCGAAACACCAAAGTCCACCTTGAGTTCAGACTTCGTTCACCTTGCTTTGCCATCCACGAAAGGGTAAAATTGTTAATTCATTATTTTTGTTAAAATTGAATGGCGATGACAATTGTCAAAAACAGTAAAGGTACTGCAAGACAATAGTTAAACAATAAAGGTAGACTTAGTCAATTAACTAAACAGTAGGAATAACTTAAAAAATTTGCCATAAAAAAAATAACAATAAAAACATAAAATAAAATTAAAACTAAAGCAAAGGAAGATAACACAAATAAACAATAATTAAAAAATATGTCTATTATATCTATATATATATATATATTCTATTATTTTCAATTGACATTCTGGTTATTTATTTCTTTTAATCATTTTGTTCCAACCGACGTTACATTAAGGTCAAAAATTGTCATTTTATCTAGTACACAAATTATTGGGGAGGTTTTAGTAATTACATGGCTTCTGTAGGGGTGTCATAGTAAATGACCCCTTTTTTTAAATTAAATTTAAAACTAAATTTCAGGCCTCGGACTTCTCGGGTTAACACATCAACGGCAACGCTAGAAAAACATGTCTCTGCTGACAACGCATTGACGCTTCAGCGCTCTACTAGCTTACCAAGTAGGCAACTAGGCAAGTACCAATCTCCCTCCCTCCCGTTATCCCCCAAGTGTTGCCATAATCCGGGCAGTATCTCCGGCGAGAATGAAAGCTGTCGTAATCACGAGCCCTGGCGGTCCGGAAGTTCTTCAAGTACAAGAAGTCGAGAACCCTAAAGTTGAAGATGACGAATTACTGATAAAGATCGAAGCAACTGCGCTGAACAGAGCCGATACGCTTCAAAGAAAAGGATTGCATCCGCCTCCGAAAGGTGCCAGCCCCTATCCTGGTCTTGAATGCTCCGGGATTATCGAAGCTGTCGGGAAAGGCGTTACCCGATGGAAAATTGGCGATCAGGTATTTCAATTCATTCGAAATGGTTATTTACCCGTCAAATAATAATTGGATTTTTCTCTTTGGATAAATAACTCAGTGATACGAATGTCATAAAATTATACTGCAACCCTAGTAATATATGAGAGAATCATAAAATTTTCGTACTCTGCTAGGGTGAGACTTTATGCTTTGCCAGTCTATCGGATCAACCCTTTAACATTGAGGAATTCATGCTAGAAGTATAAAAATTGGGTTGGAAGAACAGTTCCAACCTTGAAATACTGTTGCAAAATTTACATCTTGCAAGATTTCTTTCATCTTTGTTACATATTTCATGAAATATATTATACAGGTCTGTGCTCTTCTTAGTGGAGGGGGCTACGCAGAGAAAGTATCTGTTCCTGCTGGACAAGTTCTTCCTGTACCCCCAGGTGTTTGCTTGAAGGATGCTGCTAGCTTTCCTGAGGTGGCATGCACTGTCTGGTCAACGGTTTTTATGATGGGCCGGTTATCTGCAGGTGAAACATTCCTGGTACATTTATTGCCAACTTGACCTTTTCAGTGCATGGTTATCATGTTATCCATAACTTCTATCACTTAAGTACAGTAGTAATGACTGAATGGATTGGATCACTTAGCAAAAATAACCGGGAATCTTACATGTGGTAGTCTGGCAGCTTAAAGAGAGGGTTTACAAATTGTGGATCCAGTAACAGTCACTGGACCATAGTTGCCCCATGATAAAACTAAATTTTGGGTAGTTAAATCCTTACACGCAAATCTGCTGATTTCCTTATATATGCATACGAAATTTCTTTGCTTACAAGGTCAAATAACTCTTTATATCTTACGATTAAAAAGAAAAATAAGAAAACAAACAGATCTAATGAGAATGCCTGAGAATGAGAACTGAGAAAGCATTTCTGTTGATATAGAATCCTGATTGAGTAGAACATAATGCACCTTTCTAATTGTCTCTTATGTTACATATCCTCCCTTTGCTCCTATGTGAAATAGTTCATTGTTGCCACTTTTGATATTTTATACCAGGTGTTGTAGGTTTAAAAACACCCTGTTTCCCTGTCTATTAAGGACCATATTCTTTGTTATGCACATAATTTCAAATCATTTCATTTATCTCCGGTAGCTAATTGTTGGCTCTTCAGGCTTTGTTTCAATTTACAAACGGCAGGAAGATTATCACTCTGACATACCCCAGTTATATCCTCTTCCCCTCTTTCACAGACTTTGTGTTCTAACCCTTTTACACCAGAACAAATGCTGCCTAAGAAAAAGAAGGGGGAGATGTCCTTGTGGTAAATATGTGTGTGAATTTCTTGAAAGAAATATGGAAAAAAACAAATGAAGGGCCACATTCAATTCATGTAAGCTAAAAAATTTAAATTAGTTCAAGCAAATGAGTGTTTATGCATCTCTCTCTCTCTCTCTCTCTCTCATGTCTATTACATAAATAGTTTGATAGATGCATGATTTTTATTAATTAAATTTCAGATTCATGGGGGATCCAGTGGAATTGGCATGTTTGCAATTCAGATAGCTAAGCACCAAGGAGCAAAGGTGTTTGTCACTGCAGGTCTAACAACCCAAAAACATCAAGTTCAGTCATATATATTTCTTGGTTTTTTTGCTATGCCATTCTCACAAGTAATAAATATTTATTTTATTTTTCAGGAAGTGAGGAAAAGTTAACCTTCTGCAAGAATCTGGGAGCTGATGTGTGGATCAACTACAAGACTGAAGATTTTGTTGCACGGGTGAAGGAAGAAACAGGAGGGAAAGGTTTCTTCTTTTGCCCTTAATTTCAACTAATAATTTGAATTTGAATTTGATGGTTGTATGAACCTAAATTTGGAATTTTCATTCTTCAAAATTCTGTGATTCCTGAGAAGGTATAAGATTTTCTTCCTTCCCTAACGTCAATTAATAATAAAACCTAAGCCTCAAAGAATGTTCCCATCTCAGGTGTTGATGTTATACTGGACAATATTGGAGGGGCCTACTTTCAACGTAACATAGACAGTTTAAATGTCGATGGTAGGCTTTTCATCATTGGCTTCCAAGGGGGGACAGTTACGGAGGTGAATCTTTCAGGTTTGCTTGCAAGGCGTCTTACAGTTCAAGGTATTACAGTTCTCATTTTGACGTGGACTTAATTTCTTTATTTTTCCTGTTTAAGATTTGGAGATATGGAATTCATTCAATTGGGATTCCAGAATAAGGAATTATTGTTGTTGTTGTTTGCACTTGAGGTGGAAGTAACCAGAATTATGTTAGCAGTCATGATAAGCAAATAAATGAAAATGGCAGGGGGAAAGAAAGAAAAGACAACAAAGAACAACTTCATGCTTGTGTGGTGGTCTATTAGATAAAGATTTTGTTGGTAATTAGAGATGTAACAGGCTGTGAGTATTTGGAGTGGTGCTTCTGGATGTTTGCACTGGTCTAAGAGAGCTATTATTTTGAGAAACTGAAACTCTGATAGTTTCATAATGTAACAATCGAAGCAGGGATCCTTTTTTTCTCTATGTTATTATAACTGGTGTGGTTACATATGCAGATATGATTATTATGTTTCAAACTTCAAATAGTAAATTTAAATACCTAGTTCTAATGACAGTTATTCATGAACAGCGGCGGGCTTGCGGAACAGAACCCCTGAAAATAAAGCAGTAATTGTGAATGAAGTGGAGAAGAATGTTTGGCCAGCAATTGCAGCTGGCAAGGTGAAACCTGTAGTTTACAAGTCCTTTCCCTTGTTTGAGGCAGCAGAGGCTCACCAGCTAATGGAAAGCAGCAAGCATATTGGCAAAATACTTCTTGTGCCATGATTAGGGCAACATGCTGGGGATGGTTATGATAGTTCTAGGTGGAGGATGTGGTTTTCAAACTACTTGCGGGTACTTGGATTAATTCAATCGTGTAATGTGCAAATGTAGTCTGAAACTTGACATTTAATTTCATCATTTAGAGGAAAGTTAGCTTTAAATTGTACACATGATCCAGTAACTCTTTGTTGAATTATTTCATTTGCTTGTTTGTGTTATGCATGGAAGCAGGGCATGTAATGTTTGAAGGAAAGATTTTCTGCATATATCATAATGAAGAATGAGTATGCTTGGGCATTTGAGCATGTTTGAAGGAGAAATCTACCATTAAGTCATTATTGACATTTCAACATAGCATTGTGGGTCTTCATTTATCTCATCTCATGCTATTAGCGTCTCTTGGACGTATACATCGTGCTATTACTTATTGATAACTCTGCCATAAATTGGTTGTTGAATACTTGAATTGACCTTGAAATGTCTAGTTGAGAGGTCAACAGGCTAAAGATTCTCATTTCTCAGTATTGTGTTGGTTGTAGAGTGTCAATAGTCTCATCTCAGTCAGCCATGACAATAGCTGCCATACTTGGAAGTTGGGAGACACTTCTTACTCGCTTGGGACGAAGCTCCGAACTGTAGTTGCGCAATGCCTACCGAGGGGGAGGGGTGTAGCGGGTTTGTTACTACATACAATCGTTTGAGCTGACAGAATCGATCCTCCAGTCATAGAATGTAGTAGTCCTCCCACCGGATCAATACTTAGAAGGCGAGAGTGACAAAACTACGCACAACGTAGGCATAAAATCACTTATTACTCGTGTGTGTATGATTCAAAAGACAAACACTTTTTGAAAGAGGATGCAGATGTGCATCATCTTAATGCGAACATGTTAAATCGGTTCGGTTTTTTGGTTTTTTGGTTTTTGACTTTCGGTTTTTGAAATTAGAATTTCGGTTAACCTAATTAACCAAGCTTTTTATTATTATATGTGTGTACGATTCGTAAGACAAACACTTTTTGAAAGAGGATGCAGATGTGCATTATCTTAATGCGAACATGAACTTCTGATTAGTGACATTAGGGGTGAGCATTATTCGGTTAAAACCGAATAACCGAACTGAAAATTTCGGTTTTGGTTTTTCGGTTTTTAGTTAAATCGGTTCGGTTTTTTGGTTTTTTGGTTTTTGACTTTCGGTTTTTGAAATTAGAATTTCAGTTAACCGAATTAACCAAACTTTTTATTATTATATGTAATATATAATATATAATATGTAGCGAAATTTGATTTCATAATATATATTTTATAATATATAATATATATAATAAAGTATATATTATTAAAATTCGGTTTTAACTGAAATAACTGAAAACCGAACTGAAAATTTTGGTTTTGATTATTTCGGTTTCGGTTTGGTTTTTAAAATTTTGATTTATTCGGTTTGGTTTTTAACTAAATAAACCGAATGCTCATCCCTAGTTAGCATCACTCCTTTTAACAGCTTGTCTTAGCGAACCCAATCAGGAAATAAAAAAGTTGGAATTCACAATGTTCTGGAATCGGGCTGTCTAACCAGAATCAAACATAGGGGTGTCCACAGTTCGGTTAACCAAACCATGGCACTTTTTTGTAAACCGAATCAGTGGTACCGTTTTTTCCAATTCTCCAAACCAAAACCGAACCGGTACCACCGGTTAACCGGTCCGTCGGTTTCAGTTTTTGACCGGTTAGATTCTTCGGTTTTTCGATTTTTTATATTTATAATATATATTATACAAATATATGTATAATATTATATTATAAATAATAAATGATATATATTATAAATATTTGAAAATATATAATATATATAATATATTTATAAATAGATCATTATAAATATAATATAAGTATATATTTTTATATATAATGAATATATATTTATATATAATACATAGAAAATATGTGACATATATTAAAAATATATAAAATATACATAAAAATACATATACCGGTCGGTTCAGTTAACCATCAGTTTTTTTGTAAGTTAACGAAAACCAAACCGGTCCTTCGGTTTTTCAAAAATCTCGAACCGAAACCGAACCGATCGATTCAGTTAACCGCATTTTGCGATTTGGTTCAATTTTTTAGTTTTTCATGGACACCCCTAATCAAACATATATTTAGGTCACTGGAAATCAGGAAAAACTTTCATCTTTTCAGGTTCGACTGTGCTAACGGGGAACAGGATCCGGGAACCTTTTTGGTTCGATGCCTGATCTGGTTTTCAAATGTTTTCCCATATGACACAAGCTTCTGGAACCAACGTCAAGCAACCAATGAGAACCTGTAGGCATTGAGTTTATTTCCTTCAATTGATGGCTAGCTATTAAGAGTGTTCGTACATTTTCTTGAGTTTTGTGTGATTCAAATTAGTTGCTGTTTATTTTTTGTCCTTTTGTGTTTTGTTTGCTAGTAGAGTGGCTTGAGTCCCACATGGATTACTAATAAGAACACTCCTCTTGGGTTTATCTTTTACCTTGCACTTTTAATATGTGTCTTATGGTACTTGTGGAGAGAGTGCACTTGGATTGCTACATGCACACATGTGTTGGGCCGGGTTGGGCTAGGCTAACACTTGTGCACATAGGTCCACGGCCCTTGTCTTACCTTTATTTATTTTTTTCCTTTTTCTTTTCTAAGTGGTTTTTAACGTTTTAATTAATAGTCTGTTTCCTAACATTCTCTTTGTAACCACCACACTCTTTTAATCGTGGGAGAACTCCTAACATTAATGGGAGATGTTTCTATTTTGGCATTAAGCTTACTTAATGGTCAAGATAATTGTGTTTTTGGGGCATTAAGTTTGGGCTTTTGCTTCGTTTCTTTATTCTCCCACACGGTTTCTCTCTCTCTCTCTGTTGAACATATTGGGTGTACATAACATATTGATTAGTTGCTTTGGTCTGTGGTGCACACAACATCAAGGCTGGGCCATTGAGAGTTATTGTATTTTTGAGGCCGACCACTGGAAACCTTCTGCACCAATGAAAATACTCCAAGAGGTGATAAAATTGGTTTTAAGGAGAGTGAACACTTGCCGCGACTCAGCTGTGACTAATAAGTTCCTATCTGCTAATTATCTATTTACTACATATATTTTCCTGTTGTTCGAATTTGGTTTGTTTGGATTCTGGTAGTATTTGTTGGAACGGGTGGCCATAGGCCCTCGATTTGGAATCCTCAACGTGTAGGAGAATCCACTGGCCATGTGAAAAGCCACACGTTGATGGAATAGGTTAATGATATCATCCCAATGAACACACTACAACACACACCAATCATAATTTTTTGTTATATGTTATTATTTATTTTCTAGTAAAAATAAATATGTTTTCTGTAAATTGTTTTTGACTTGTTCACAGGGTGGTTATTGGGTCTAAGTTGGATCCATTTCGGCTTTTGACTAAGTCAATAAGAGGATGTTTGGCTCAAAATGGGCTGAGTGATCATGTGGTTTAAAACCATGATCATTGAGACACTTGTCTCAATCCGAAGGGGTAGAACAAGATTAATGTTGGTGAATTTATCTTTTGTAACGACTCATATCTCCTCTTTCATAGGAGAGACGTTGTGGCAATCACCTATAAAAGGGAATGTGCAGAAGTCACAAAAACCTCCCCAACAAAAATATTCACTTTATTGGAAGGCTATCAAAACCTCCAAAAAGATTTGCCCAATTCGGATTGTATTATTAGCTTTGTGAAGTCCAAGGTTGTGTTCAAGTGTTGTTGGATCCATCAAGAAAAAGGAGTTACTCTTTATTTGCAACATTTTATTTGCATTTTGTTTTGTCACTGTTCTGTTATTGTTTTTTCATTGGTATCAGAGCTTTATTATTTATGGTGTGCATGTGCATGTGCTACACCATATCAGTCCTTTAAAGTAAAAGGGACTATGGGCAAGTAAAAAAAGAAAAGGCAAAAGTCAGGTTCGACAGTTTTTTTTCATACCCCAAAAAAGAGTCTTCTCTTCTTCACTGATCATACATAGTTGTCTTCCCAAAAAGAGAATAGTTGTTATCAAAAAGGAGAAGCTTACCCTATTTGATTTACGACTCCAACATCTGGACTACTGAAACAGCATCAAGATTCGGTGAAAGCATAAAAGGTTTGAGATCTCTATTACAGAGATCTATCCGGGTATTTTCTAAACTTTTTTTTTACATTTAGGGTTTCAACCGTTTTTTGAGAAAACATTCAGGTAGTGTTTAATAATTTTTTTTATCCTGAATGCTTGTTGCTTGGTATGATTGATATCTTTACTGAAGCCTATTCTGTGCTATTGTGTGCTAAGCATTTATTTTGTGCTTCTACAAATTTTCTTAGCTTTATCTTGGGTAAAATATTAATCTCGTTCTTACGGAGCAAAATTTAAGAAAGTTGATTTCCTTTTATGATTTTCAGTTAACTGTTAATCATAGTTAAATCTCACCATTTTTCTTGACTAAAAATAGTTGCTTGCTCATATTAGCTTACCATTACACTATAAATTTTATTTTATTTTTGCTTGTAGCTTCCTTGTTTATTCATAGACATAATGGTTGGATCTGCAATAGCAAATAAATTAAGCAAAACTGAAAAACTTAACGGTAGTAATTTTCCTCTCTGGAAATGTAGGATCAGACTTATATTAGATCAAGATGTTGACTACATATTAGAACAAGATGTTCCCTCTGTTCCTGATGATGATGCATCGTTGGTTGTTAGAAAAGCCTATAAGAAATACCTAAATATAATAAAACAGCCCGCTCTTGTTTGTTAACTTTTATGGAACCAGACATTGAAGTCTTGTTTGAAGAATATGGGAATGCTAAACAATTATTTGATGCAGTTAAGGAAGCTTATGGAAAGATAACTGAATCCTATGTTCAAATGTTAATAGAAAAATATTATGCTTGTAAGATGAAAGATGGAGATTCAGTGATAGACTATATTAATAAG